TACCTCCAGCACTTAACAGTAGAGTTAAAAATAAATTGGATGATCTTGAACGTCAAGGCATCATTAAAAAAGTTGAAAAGCCAACGGAATGGCTTAATCCCTTGGTAATCGTTGAAAAAAATAAATGGTGACTTGAGGTTATGTCTTTGTCCGAAAAAATTAAATGAGAATATTCAACGAGAGCATTTTTTGATTTCAAGTGCAGACATAATTGCCAGCAAACTGTCCAATAAAGCATTTTTCACAGTTTTAGATATGAAAGTCGGCTACTTCCAAGTTAAAGTTGATGACCAGTCAGCTGACTTTTGCACATTTGGCACACCATTTGGTCGTTATCAATTTTGTAGGATTGCATTTGGAATTACTTCTGCTCCCGAGGTTTTCCAGAAAAAGAATTTTGAACTTTTTGGAGATCTGGAGGGTGTGGAAATATATTTTGACGATTTAATTATTAGTGGGACCACAGAGGCTGAGCATGATTGAAATTTAAAAAATGTCTTAAAGCGGGCTACAAAATTTAACATAAAATTCAACCATGACAAAATTCAGTTTAAATCCTCAAGTGTGAAATTTTTGGGTCAAATTTTTTCAAGGGACGGTGTTAAACCTTGTCAGTCTTATGTTAAAACTATTATTGACATGCCAAAACTACAGGATAAGCAAGATCTTTTGAGATTGCTTGGAATGTCAAAATTTTTTGATAAATTTATGTCTAACATGTCAAAAGTGACTGCTCCACTACGGGATTTAACTCGGAAAGAGGTTGAATTTATCTGGTCAAGTGAACATGAAGAGTCTCTGACACAACTTAAGCATTTATTGACAGAAGCTCCGTTTCGTCTACTGCTGCGGTAGACATCTTCAGAGGCAGTGTGGTAGAGTACGAAGTGTTCTCTTCCGTGTTCTTCCGACGACTGGATTCGACGTTGTTGGACCTGCGTTAGACCCCTGGATATGAATAACGCAGGTCCGACAACGTCGAATCCAGTCATCGGAGGAACACGGAAGAGAACACTTCGTCCTCTATCACACCGCCTCTGAAGATGTCTACCGCAGCATTAGATGAAACGTTAGGTAGCAATACTACTAGATCAAGGCATTATAGCCCGGAAAAAACTTTTTTACTAGATTTGACTTGCCGTGAAAGCCTTCATTCTTTAATTAATCATTTTATTTCCAATTTTTATTTTCGTGTTTTGTTTATGTGGAAAATGAATTTGTAAAAATCAAGATGTTCACCTATACATCATACTCAAAAAGAAATGCTCATTGAATTTGTAAGGCAAAATGAGAAACTTCAAAGTGGAAAATTTACCTCCGATTTTACCACAGTTTTTAGGGTTTAAAGTCAGGCCTATAGTTTATTACAGCAACGCGAGATGTCAGTACTGTCGCCCCTATAGTGTACCCTAAGTTGATAGTCAGAAAAAATAGAAATCTGCATTTGATTAAATTGTGTGATGGAAAGTTTTTTCTTTTTTTTGCGGAAATTCGAAGTATTATTCTGTTTTACATAAACCGGGTTGTAGTTTGGACCAACACAAATAATTTTGAACGTTCATCCGTCGGATTTTTTTTTAAACAGTGTAGCTACAGGCGTATTTCCAACTATTCTTGCAGTAGCGAGAAAACTACAAGTTCAAAAAATTTGAAAAAAATATATGTCGCGTAGAATTGCAATAGTAGTTCGTAATAAAAATAACGGGAAACTTCATCTATTCGTTTTGAAATAAATGGTGAAAAACCACTTTTTTCCAGTTTTTGCGATATAACTCAAAAATGGCGAGTCAAATTTGCTTAAAAAAATTATGGATTAAAGTATATCAATAACCATAAAACATATATTTTTTTTTGGAATTTTTGAACACAAGGTTCTGAAAATGGGGGTTGACTTTAAACCTTAATGATGAAGTTCTAGTTGGGGCCCGTGTAAAAGGTGACAATAAATCAATTAAATCTCGAGCAAGATCTTTGCTTAATCTAAATAGTTTTATAAATTTATTATCCGTTAAATCAAAAGGATTTTCTCTTCTGTGAAATCTCCTTATAGGCCTTTCTTCTTGCTCTTCTGCATCTAGTAGATCATTAAGTACAAGAATTCTTCCTATAACCCCAGCTTTCATGGTTTCCCACCCCACGTTTTCGTATTGGACCGTATTTTCCACTTCAACACTATATGCAAATGTAGCCAATTGGCAATTACTGATAATACATTATTTGCAAATCAAACAAAAAAATACCATGGATGATGACTGTAGAATTGACAAAAATCGCATGTTTGACGTTTGGTTCTCCCGAGACCAGACGTTCTCTTCAAAAAAAGCAGTAGAATAAAATTCTCTCAACTTTCATAGGAAGTGAACGGTCCCTAATTTCGAGAATACATCGTAATAGATTTTAATAGAACCACGCCTACTTTTCCTATGAGAACAGGGATCACACGATTCGAGAATCGCCGTCAGCAGAGCAATCGTTCTCTTGAGAGAACGCTGTTCCCCGGTTACGAGAATTCGGTCCCTGGAAGGACACAGATAGTTTATATTAACAACTTTATCTCTTCCCAAATCTTGGTGTCATCAGGTGTTCCACGAGGCTCGCATTTAGGCCCATTGCTCTTTAACCTGTTCACCAATGACATCTATTCTTGTTTTCTACACTCATTTCTTCTTTTTGCCGGTGACTTGAAATTATTCTTGAAAATCGTTACTCCTGATGACTGCCATGCGCTGCAAGAGGATCTTATCAGGTTAATTAAGTGGTGTCAAACTAATGGCATGGATCTTAATATTACGAAGTGTAAAGTTATGAAATTTTACAGATCTAGAACCTTTATTGACTGCATATATCACATCAATGGTACGCCATTGGACTGCGTGAATCAGATCAGGGATCTGGGTGTTTTGCTGAGCTCCAATCTTGATTTCTCTTCACACATCGTTGCCATAGTGAGCAAAGCACTCCGGATGCTGGGTTTTGTGAAGCGTAGTACAAGGGAATTTGCAAATATCATCTCGATCAAAACCTTATACTTCTCATATTATGTTCGTACACATTTTGAGTATGCTGCATCTGCTTGGAGTCCACACTATGCCTGTCATATTTATCGCCTTGAAGGTGTGCAGCGTAAATTTTGCTGTTATTTCAATTACAATTTTTTTAATAATGAGGAATTTCATTATGCATTCCTTTGTGTCGCACTGAACTTATTAACCCTTAGCTCAAGAAGGAAGCAGAAAAACCTCAAACTGATATACATAAAGTCATAAATTCCACAATTGACTGCCCCTACTTGACTTCTAAAATAGCTCTACATGTCCCATCACGTAGCACCCGCACAATGCAAACTTTTCATCTTCAATTTCACAGAACCAACTATGCATAGCATCTTTCATTAGGTACTCGTACCCTCAGACTGTGTAATGAGCTGGGAGACATTGATTTTTTTGGGCCCTATGAACCATTTGCGAGAACTGTCACTGGTCTCAAGTTAAAATTGTTATTTTATTTTCTGATTTTTTGGCACCTATTGCATTCTTTGTTTCTGCTTTATCTATTTTGATTGGCATGCTTTTATTTTTATATGGTTGGATTTACTTGTTGTTTACTTGTACACTTTGTTAATTTTAAATGGGCTTGACCCGTCAATAAATAAATAAATAACTTTACTTGAATGAGAGTAGACGATAATTTTCTGGATTTACCGGAGATTCCTTTTTATGGAACAAAGATTGAAGTGCTCCATTTGTCTGGCCAGACACCGGAGGACCAAACTTCAGAGTTTCGGCAGAAAGGGCAGCAATCAATCACCGGCTTTAAGTTTCCTAACGACATATTTCACGTTCGAAAAAAGAATATCCGGCTCACGTTCGTAATTGAAAAAGGAGCTTCAATGTTAACATCGGAATACAGGTTCTCACAATATATATGCCACATCCTAATGACTTCGACAGAGACATTTTATCTTTAGGAACATGTTTCCAAGAGGAAATGTATTAGCGTAGGCCTGTATCTCTCTGCAATATTCCTGAACAGAGGAGTTCTTATCTTGATGACAAAGTCTTTGGATTTCACGTGTTAATTGTCTATACCGATCGTGCTTTACATCAGAATCCAGACCTGAGATCTTAAGCTCTTTACGTGTCTCAATGACGAAAAATGTATGGGTGGTGATAATCCAACGGAGTTTAGGTTGAGTGATGCGTTTCGGTTGAGTTGTTTGGGCGAACATTTTTAAATGTTAACCAAACACCATTAGAAGGAGATTCATCCGTTATCGAAGCACTCCGGAAAAGCTGAGAAAATTTTGACCGAAAAGAGGCAGGGTCAACTATCGGTATTGAAAGATTCCGCTTAGAACGTAAACATATTTTCAGCTTAAGCTGAAGTTCACAAAGAAGAAGTTGAATGTGTGAACCTGGAAGAGTTTTACAAACTCTAATGTATGACCTCCATCGTATTGGCAACGTGGTATTCGAGGCTCCAAGCGAATGATTAAAGATATGAAGCAGGTTTTCTTTTGATTGGTAAATCCTACCTTTGTCATATACATTAATTTGATTGATTCGTCGTTTTTGCACCGAAACCCGAAACATAATTGTCCAGATGGTACTGTCCTTAGAAATCCCGACATATCAAACCAAAATCAAACTAGCTCCGTACTTTTCGGAGCAAATACGTTTCGGATTATACAGTCGGGCAAATACTATCGGAACAATATGCACTATCAAATTTATTACTACAATTATATAATTTATGGAAAGGTTTCAAGAGTTAAATGTGAAAGATAATTGCTTAGCTAGTTTCTTTAATTTTTTAGTAACCATTCAGTTTCATATAATTCGAAACATTGGCAATTTATTGATCCTACATTTGCTATATTATGTAGCAACTTTACCTACACCTTTATGTAGGTAATAAAAAACTTTCAAACATGCATACTTTATAGATGGAAATGTGTTTCAACCCTTGCTAACAAAACTTTCATATCAACCAAACCAAAAATGAGTCACGATCTAATTATAAAAGGGGATTTACCATACGGTCACCAACCCACCCACCTGCCTGCTAAGGTAAATAACAGTAATTATTATAGGAAGCCAACTCGGGGCTTTACAGCTCGTTTTGGCTGATCGATTTGCATTAGGGGTGTAACGCGAACTGAACTTTCCAATGTTTAGAAACAGAATTTAGTGTAGCACAGCCCTGACCACAAAAAATATAACGGTGTTACGAGCACAAAAGAGGAACACAATAATATAATGCTGCGGAGGTAAACGTGACATAAAATCGGCGATGCGAAGAACCGCTTCTATCTCTGCGTAATGGAATATTTCCTTCATTGCGGGAATTTTTAGTCATAATGAAACAGAAAATTATGTGGAAGATCGTGCAATTTTTTTCTAATTTTCACACACATAGTTTAATTGTGATGTTTTAGACTTATACAGCAAAAAAAAGAAGTACCTACCTATGTAACTTTCTCTAATGTTTGTCACATCAAAGTCTCTCTCTGTTCCAAAGTTCGTTGGAGCAGGTTTTCATTAAAATTGATAATTGATACTAGGAAATGAGTGTCTGAACTATACAATATCAAGGATCGATTATAAGAAGAAAATGGAACTTTTCTTTCCTCTTCAAAGCATTATTTCCTCTACATTTTTCAAAGGAAATAAAAGGAAAAACGCAACTTTTCAAATTGTTTTCGGAATGTTTTCTATTAACAATAAAGATGATTTCTTCTCAGTTTGAGCACTACGAAGGCGGTAAGTTGAATAGGCTTTCAATGTTTAGTGGCTCCTAGTCAGGACACCTTCTTTGACAATAATGACTTATAATATTGATTGGATCTCCTCCAAGAGAACAACAGTATTGTTGAAACGAGAAGTGGGTTATCATTTCTACAAGATTCATACGCACCTACTGAAAAACAGATTCCTTTATCAAATTAAGTATTTAAAGTTGTGAAGTTTCTCACATTAGTATGTTATCCATATAATAGCGAGTTGATAATGCCTTATCACTTGTAAAGTAGGTACTTCTCGTCCTCACACTTGACGTGTCTATTGAAACGGTCAATTATCGCAGGTCATTAAATTTAAATTGAACAATTTGCCTCTACTCGACACAATACAGGAAGCGTTCGCCTCGAAATCTTGTCCCTGAATGCATTTTGGGCCCATGGGGCTGCTAATACAGTTGCATGTTAATTTAACCAACAATTGTCAGTGAATAAACTAAAAAAAATACCGATTTTATAAAATATGTTTTCAAAATTGAAAATGCATTAAAATAAAACTGAAAATAAAATTGGACCACAATATTTCAGGGATTAATCAGTTTTTTGAATTCACTTATCTGTTCTGATGCAACAATGGTTAAAACAAAACGTTTTAATTTAAAAAGCAATTTTGTGTAAAACCCTTTCGAACCCCTATAACAAATCGGTTACGTTTGTCATTTTTGTTCAGACGTTTAATTAAAACTCGATAACGTTTCTTTGTTATTTTTCAACAATTTCGTGCCAGCATTTTCTCAGGTATTTTATCGATCCAATATAGAGTAATTTGTCTGATAAATGAGGCGGGTAATCCAATATAAAAAAGAAAAAACCGGATAATCCCTAATGGGAAACGTATGACGGAAATCGATTGGGTTGGCGTCTCCCTAAACCTATCCATCATAAAGTGAGTGAAATTTAATACAGCTTCTTTAACATTATTATAAAGAAGAGAATTACAGCATCATGTGGCACATGATTATTCAATATACTGTCACTGTTTGTAGATACAAATCCATGTCAAACTGGATTCAAACACAGACGCGCTTCGGCATTATTATAATTCGTCATTGAGGTGTAGAGAGAGGCGAATATTCGGGTTTCCTTATAAATAAATAAATCTGCTGGAAACCTATAAGTAATCCTATTGTGTTGGTCAACAGCTTCGGGTGGAGGAATTACCAGGCCATGCAGAGGGCATTTAAGATCTTCATATATCTATCCAAAGTTTTTTATCATGTTGGGAAAAAGAGAAAAATGGTGTCCAGTCCCGGGAAGAATATAGCGACGTGGAATGTGAAAACATTGTTTGCAGCTGGAAAGCTTGACAATCTGGTCCAAGAAATGAACAGAATGGAGTTTGATATTCTTGGTGTTAGTGAGGTCCGCTGGCCCAGCAGTGGGATGTTCAAACCGAAGGGTAAAAAATTTTATTACTCGGGCAGTGGTGTAATGACGCCGATCAAAATCATCAAGACGTGTTGGTATTTTCATAGATGAGAACTTGCAAAAACCAGTAAGAAATTTTGTCCTTTTTCCTGAAAGGCTTATCATAGTGTAATTATTAGATCAACCCATTAACATTAACATAATCCAAGCTTACGCTCTCACATCAGATAAATCAGACAAAGAAACGGAAAATTTCTACAAACAAGTTAACCGAGCTCTTAAATTGACAAAGCCCAATGAAATGAACTTGATTTTGGGAGATTTCAATGCAAAGGTTGGCAAACGAAGAATAGAACCTGCAGTCGGAGACTACGGTCTTGGTGGGAAAAATGAGAGAGAGCGGAAGTAAATTCAATAATTCAAAGAGAAAGATCTCATAATAACGAACACATTTTATTTATTTTTTAAATCGTTTGGTAATAAATTAGAGAGTTTAATATAGCATTTACTTCGGATGACTTTCTACCCACCTCTAATAGTGTTTGTATATATGGGATATTTCTATTTCTGGTGTTTGTTTGTCTATTTACATATTGATTTTTCAAAGAGTCATAGCTTGTGATTAATGATTTAGCTATAATATTTAGTAATTTTATCTAATCGTCAATATCACCTTATTTTTATAGATTTGGTTTACGCTTGCACTTCCTATCCCAAAAATGATTTTATTTATTCTATTCTGTATGTTTTGCACATAACTTATCACATTGCTATATGGGAGACTATACCATATGTAGCCACACATTGAAATAGGGCGTAATAAATCACCAAAAGAGTTTTTATGTCTAATAGGTACCTACATGTATAAGGTTTTTAAAAACAAAGATTAAATATCTAAGTTTCTTATTTGAATGAATGATATGTTTCTTTCATTTCATGTTATTATCCACTTGTTACAAATTACCTTGAAATTTGAAACTTTAAGACAAGATAACCTAGGGTCGTAGAATTCAAGAAATTAAGATAACGTGTAGTCCCTTTAGGTGCAAATGAAACTACTCAAAATCCAACAAACAATAATTTTATTTTGTTTACAATGTTTTAGTGTTGACAGCTTGGTTTTTCCGGTGAATCTGATACCATGTACCTTTCCAATCCGGAGCTCCTCAATGGGTGTAGGGGTTTCACTTTCGTGAACTGGAGCTCTTCGTGCTGTTTCCTGTATCCAGGAAGAGGATAGATTGCTGGGGTAACGTCACTCCAGCTGATCCAGACTCCAAACAGTGATCTTTATGTCTAGTAGGTACCCAGAAAAGAATAAGGCAGTATCAGGTTCACCAATATTTGGAATATTAAATCCCTGAATTCTGTCAAAAAAGTGAGTGTCTTGCAAAGGAAATTGAAATTGAAATTTAATATACAGGGTGTCCCACGAGGTTCCTCCCAAATGATCATTTCGGAACGCATCATCGTATGTTCCACTGTATAATTTTCTGTCATATCCTTTAACAAAGCCTCAACAAATATGGCATAGCCGATTTTGTAATTTAATTTTCTAACGAAAAATACCATAATATACCATGAGTTACATTTAAGATTCGAAAGTTGACGTCACTTGACCGAAATTGAAGCAAAAATAGTAAAATTGGATGACAGTGGTAGGGCCGGATCTAGGGGGGGCGAACAGGGGCGCGCGCCCCCCTTCGCATCTTGAGGGGGCGGCAAAACGAGAAGACACTGCCTAACTTTTTTTCATAAAACATACATATCTAGCGATTTTTAAAAAAAAAAAATCATTATCTAATATTGTGCCAACTTGTAACACATCTTCTGATAGAACAGCCGACCACCCCACAGTAACCTTACTCAAGGTTCCCTGTATTATGCTGCCCTCTCCGGAAGAAATAGAGCTTTGACGTTCGATCACGTAGATTAATAGATTGTGGGGGAGTCGTTTCGGCTTTTCAGCCGCTCAGCACTGCTACCTTTGCAGATATTTTGTACATGACTCTACACCTTAGGTTGTCTCCAGGAAACGTAGACATCTGCCGAAGAAAGCTATTTTCGTGGGTGTCAATTGGCCCACTTCTTCTGGTGACAGTGTTGCCCCCTCGAGGAATTCGAGCCTCTTGCAGAATTGGGTGCTCTGCGATCTCTATTGCGTCTGAGCAGAATCTGCAGAGATCGTCTTCTGCTCTGCCCATTAACCTTAAATAGTATTTTACCAGGCATAGTGTCCTGTGAGCAGTCTTACCACCAATCTGATGTCTGGTCTGTTCATGTTTAGGAGCTGTTTAGCTCTTTTTGCTGAAAGGGTAATAAAGCTTTTTGACTGTCTGTGTCCCGGAGTGTGCCTTCAATATGATGACAGACCCAAGCAGCTCAGCGGTTGTGTCTTCGCTTTGCATGCAGTGGGTCTCGGGTTCGAATCCCGGCTAGGTGCATGGATGTTTGTTTGTTTGTTTGTTTGATTTGGTTTGAATGTGATGTTCGAGGCTTTGTCGACAAACCACAGTGGTGGTTTCTGACTAGAAAGCATAAAAAAAAAAAAAAAAAAAAAAAAAAAAACAGTTGGTCTTTTTACCATTTATTGAGTTCTTCATTATGTGGCTTTTCATTAAGCCACAGTAGGGCTCTGGTCTATGGTATGGTGTTGAAGCTCCTTCTTTTGCGAGGCCACCTGCTTCTTCTTTCCTTCTATGCCTCAATGACCAGGAAGCCACATCAGCGTTACCTGGTTATGTGTCGCTAGTGTTTTTAGGGTCTGTTTACACTCCCAGACTAGTTTTGACGTGCATTTGAAAGCCCTTAAGAGGGGCGTCAGATAGGAGCCAGCGCGCCATTTTTGGGCTTTATGACATACATTAAATATTTTTTAGTCACAAATGTGCACATTCCCTGTAA